TGGTCATTTGTCTTGCACTGCCTGCATCGAAGTCAGCCACCTGGGTCCGTCAATTTTTGTGACTCGCTCACTTCCGTGTTCGAGCCATCCTAACCCCAACTGCAGCATTATAGTAGCAGTCCTTCAGATTTCAGTCCAGGTAGATTTGGCGACATCTGTGGTTACCATGGTATTTTACACTCCAGCCAAGCAAACTCACACAGTATGTATGTGTACAGAGGCCATTTGAGTCCAGGGAATGGTGGACTTGATACTGCAAAGGCCTGTATAGAGGAAATCACATAAATGACATACAGTGAATGGAGTTTGGTGTCATCAAGATTTTAAAATGCTGCTTCATGTTAATACATCAGTAAAACAAAATGCAATGTATTCATCCATGTCACTGACACGGGCCATGCCACTGCAGTATTTGTACTTTATACATCTACTGTATACTTTTGATAGTTTAACTTTAAAAATTTGGATGCATGGCTTTCAGGCCCTCCAGCTCTGCAGGCAGCAGCAACGCAAAGCTCTACACCGGCGGGCCCCAGTGATGACCCTCCATACTTCGGTAACTTCAGACAACTGCTGTTCATATCTGCGTATATGTACAATCACAACTGCAGCACAAACGCACACATCCTCTCCTTTGTGCATGATTTCTGAGGACAGTGATAGTCTGATGACAGCCTGTGTTCTTTCACTGTTTCTACTGTTGTCCCTCAGATATGAGGATTGCTGTTGCGGTATGTGTGGGATTGTTAGTGATGGCTTTGGTTTTACTACTGCTACTGATCCCATGGACACAAGGTGAGGGATAGAAACCTGGCACAAATGCTAGCATGCAAGGAGTGAGGAGTAACTACAAGTAGACAGAAAAAATATCTTACTGTTTCCATCTATTTATGTTATTTGTCCTTTGTGTTGTGTTGCAGGGGGCTCATCAGGACAGACCACAACTGCTGGCCATAACACAGAGGTGTGTGTGTATGTGTGGGTTTGCACATGTGAGCAACAGCTGCATTTATCTGACTACTGCACTTTCCCTCTGCAGGAAAATCATGAAGATCACCACAATGAGGAGATGCAGGAGTTGACCAACCAGATGAGCTCAGGGGATGCGCTGCCGTCCATTTATGCTGTCGTCAACCTTCCCGCAGACCCGCTTCACTATGCCAGCATCAGTCTGCAGAAGGGAGGAAACACAGTTTCTGACACAAATAAAAACGACTTCTCAGTCTGTGACTACTCGTCTATTAGGACTCAAGGTGGCACCTGTCCTCCAACAGCAGAGCAACCTCTCTATTCCACAGTCACAATGCCAGGGCAACTAAAATAAAGTCAGTCTTTTAATGTATACTTAGAATGGGACATGATGGGAAGGATTTAAATTTTAATGTGTATAAATACCATCTATACACCCAGAATATATGGAGAAATGATTATCAGCTTTCAGCGTATAAAATAATTTGATTTGATTTGATTGATTTATTCTTTCAAACATGTAACAACAGTCAGTATGTAACCACACATAATTCCAGACATATCCACAAATATATTTTCAATTTGCTTATACCTAGTACATGCTTGAATGGAGTAGGAAGAAGTTAGACTTATCTAGTCCTACCCCCTAACATCATCTTATCAACATTGGTTTGCAAACAGTATTACTACATGGATACATATTCTACATCCACATTCCCATCTGATTAATCATTAAGCCTGTTCTTGCCCATATCTTGATTGACACATACCTTTATATCTGTGTTTAAACTCATCAAT